TTCCACCTTCAATATAGTTCAGCTAACAAAACCTACATACTTGTTTCCTAACTAATGCTAATTCCGGTTTCCCTATTATCCCTGTGCTTAGCTGACTGACATTGGTTCCCAGTCCAGCAAAGTGTCAATTTTTAAAAATCCCATTCCTGTATTGAACTCTCTCCACATTCTTGCTCCTCCCTATCCCCATAACCTGCTTCAACTCTACAAACCTCTGAGGCATTTGTATTTCTCCAATTTTGGTTCCACATCGATCCCCGATCTCAAAAACGTGGCTGTCAACTGCCTAGGCCCTAAACTCTATAATTCCTTCTTTCAACCTCTGTCTCTCCATCGGGGGAGCTGCATGGCAAAAAGAAGTGGAACATAAAAGGCAGAACAAAATGATGTTGCGAAAGAAGGTAGAGGTGCATCAAAGGAGTTACTGTGCATGCCACACTTTCAATTCTTCCACGTGGAGAGAAATAGATAGAAAGATAGACTAAATAAAACATTTATAAAGACACCATAGATACATATAACTACTTTTTATAATTATGTATTGCTGAGAAAAGATATTATGGCCGTGGTATTTGGAACAAGGTCAGCCAGGTGGATATCATAGAGTATGAGTTCTCTGATTGGGGCTGTTAATCTGGTCCAATCAGAGAGCCGTGGTTGACAGATATAAACAGGAGTGTCAGGGGTTCTGTTCACTCGGACAGCTGGCTCTGAGGGAGCTGGATCAGTGTCACATATTATGCACATATAAATAAAAAGGGTGCCTTAATGACAGGATACCGGCCTTTGTGGAGATATTTCAGTGACGACGAGAGAAAAACAGGCCCTTAAAGAGTCACTCACAACAGTTGTCTTTGACTAGGAGTAAGGATTTCTAGCATCATACCACTATTTGGGAAGCTTGACTCATTCGATTCTGCCGTCAAAGACTGGACCAATTACGTGGAAAGAATGTGTTTTTTTTCCCAGGCAAATGACATTGGGGCCGACAAAAAGCAACGAGTAATTCTCCCGATAGCGTGTGGATCCGCAGCTTTTTAGGTTATTAGAAGCCTAACTTTCCCAGAGGCACCAGATATTAAAACCGTTCAAGAGTTGACAGACTTAGCTAAGGAATATTATGACACCAAGCCTTACCTAATTCTGAGATGCTATCGGTTTTAATCAACAGTTCAAGAATGAGGAGAATCATACTAGGATTTTTGGCGAGGTTAAGAGACTGGCAGAGGCATCTGATTTTGGTTTAACCTTAAGTGAGATGCTGAGACACTGTTTCGTATGTGGGATTAGTGATATAACCATGCAAAAGTGCTCACTAGCTGAGGCCCAACTGGACTTCAAATAGACACCACAACTGGCTTTATCATTAGAAAATGTGGCAAGTGGAGCATATGGAGTTATAGGGTATTCTGATGGAAGTGATCACTCTTGCCAGTCCAAAGGAGCTTAGGGAACATCATTTAAGTGAAGGCAATTGCATAGCCTTACTTAGGACATATCCTGAACAGAAGGACTCTAGGTCAGCCCACAGCAAAACTCGAAAACAAATCCGAGCCCTGGCCAAACAGTTAAAATTTTCTTCAGCATCTGGGCCAGTAGGCCATTGTAGTTTCTGCCGCTATGTAGACTTGAGACAGCTAAAAAACTTCTACTAGACCTAAATGGTGTAAAATAACTCCATATGTCGGTATCCAGGAGAGTGCACGTCCTGGAAAGTCCACCCACATGTGGTCTGGAACAATGAAATTGCTTAGCAACATCCCAATCAGAACCAATCAAAATAAACATCTGATTAAACCATCACCTGGTTCTAATGGAGGTCGATACTGGCATAGCCGTTCCAGCAATTATAGAACCAGTCTTTAATATAATTCATTCTGGACTCCAATCTTTAAGTTTGGGCAAGACATCAGCTAGACTGAAAAACTACACTGGGGAACGTTTACAGATTAATGGTCAACAACTTTGGTTCCAGTCTCTTATGAGAAGCAACAGGGAACCACTACAGTAAAAAGCTCGGGCCCAAGCTTGATGGGGTGAAATTGGTTGAGAAAGATTCACCTAGATCGGCTCAACATTTTTCAATTAGAAAATGGCTGCCTGAGTGAAGTCCTGATTAAATACCCAGACATTTTTCAGGAAGGTCTAGGGACTATCAAAGGAATGAAGGCCACCTTGCATGTTTACCAGGAAGCAATTCCACGATTCTGCAACACCCGCCCAGTGTCAATTGCCTTACAGGCAGAAATCAGATAGCTGGAAAGCAGAAGAATCATCAAACCAGTTCAGTTTGCAGAATGGCAGTAGTATCGGTCGTACCGACTGTGAAACCTGACGGATCAGTTCGCTTTTGTGGGGATTTTAAACAAACAGTTTAAACCAGTTTTCGTAGCGAGATAAATATCCAATCCCTTGCACAGTGGATTTATACGCCAAGCTGGCAGGGAGGGCTGTCCTTCATGAAACTGGGCATGACCCACGTGTATTTGTGATCGCAGATAGAGGAGGATTTCCAGAAATATGCTACAATTAATACTCATAAGCGAGACAGTCAGCCTGTGCAATTTTTCAGCGGACGATGGAGAACATTTTACAAGATCTAACTCAGGTTACCATTTATCTAAGTGGCGTGCTAATAACAGGATGGACTAACAAGGAGTACGTAGAGAACTCAGAAATAGTCCTTAGACTTTTCTCCCAGGCGGGCGTATGCGTTAAAGGGGAAAAATGTGCGTCCCAGGCACTCCCACTTGGGCTACAGAGTTGACGAGACAGTGATAAACCCTTTGGAAGGAGTGAAGTATATTGAAAATTGTATGATTAAGCTACAGCATAACAAGGGTTAAATTTGTAAATGCTAAGACAAAAAGGGAGCTTGCTGATGCGGTTGAAATTGGTCCAGAGCAAACATAAGCATATATCAAAAGTAAACATTAACCTAGACATTGTGGTTAGAATATCGAGAACCTCTTACAAGCATATATCAAACAAATGTTAACCTAGACATCATGGTTAGAAAACGGGGAACCTTTTATGAGCATAGGTTATACATAAACCGTCACCCAGACCACGTGGTTAGTGATAACCACGTTCACCTAGACCTCGTGGTTAGGGTATGGCGGAACAGTTCGTGGTTTTGGGGAGCATCAAGTAAAACCAAAATGTATAAAAATACTGAACGAGCTGTTGCTGTAGAGAGGTCTCAACATGCAATTGTCTGATCAACATTTAAAAAGAAATAAAGCCAGATATTTGAAAAGATTGTGTACTTGTTCCTTATGTATTTCAAAGGAACCTAACAGAAGGTAAAGTGAGGGGATCAAAGGTGCCCTTGCTCCCATGTCAGTACCAGAGCAGAGGTCTTTCCATGGGCTGGTGAATCATTACAGAAAATTCAAACATAACCTGGCCTCCATCCTGGCACCTATGCATCAACTTTTACAAAAAGAGAGCCAGCCTTGGAAATGGTGACATTGCCAAGTCATAGCCTTCAGAGAAGTGAAAAAACAGCTTTCAGCCTTTGAGGTGCTGGCACACCATGATCCCACACGAGACCTGGTATTGACATGCAATGCCTCCCCACACAGCATTGGGGTAGTATCAGCTCATAGGTGGCCCAATGGAGAGGAACGCCTAATTGTGTACACATCCAAGACTTTGGCTAATGCAGAGTGTAAATAAGCACAGATATAGGAGGAAGGTTTGGCGGTCATTTTTGGAGTTAGGAAGTTCCACCAATACCATTTATTGACATAAAAGTTTGCAATAATAATGGACCACAAAACATTGTCATATTTATTTAAAGAGGACAAGGCAGCGCCGCCCATAGCTTCAGGCCAAATTCAGCGATAGGTTCTAATTGTCAAGTTGGAACACCAATGCGGATGCATTGAGCCACCTTACCGGTAGTACAAGCACTGGAAGAATCCATAATAGTTTTAAATTTTCTGGACATTCTTCCAGTCACAGTTGACTTTGGATGCAGAAAGATCGGACACTGGCAAAACCGAAACATCTGGTGTTGATGTGGGAAGCCAAAGGGCTGTCACAACTAGAGGTCTGGGGTAGGAAATCACAGGAATGGCCCTGCATGGGTAACAGGCACGGTTGACGTGAGGTCAGATCCAGTGACGTACAAAGTTCGGGTAGTTGCGATGGTCCTGAATAAACACGTGGACATATATGAAAGCTGAAAACTTGCAAATGGGGCAGGAGTAAAACATGCCCGACTCCTTGACTGCCTTTCCGACTCTTCCAGAACCCCTGGGTTCTTCCTCTCTGTCAAGTGTTGAAGATATCTCAGAATCTGAAATGGACATGGCAGGTGTTGCCACCTCGATGCTTTTGCCGCCCAAAGAAGAAAATGAATTTCTTCCGAGATGCTCCAAGTACAAGAGGTAAGCGACTGTGTGTCACGCACCACCTGTATCAGAGGCAGAATTGGAGGAACCTGACCCGTGCTAAAACGCCCCACGAGGACCTACAAAAACAAATACGGACTACATTCCTGGACTCAGAAGGGGAGGGATGCAGCGATTATAATGAGGTTAGCCAGGTGGACCTTATAGAATATGGGTTCCCCGACTGGATCAGATTAACAGCCCCAATCAGGGAGCCCTGGCTGTCAGATACGAACAGGAATGTCAGAGGTTCTGGGATCTGGCTCCGAGGGAGCTGGATCAGCGTCAAGGACTCTCCACATATCAATAAAAGGGTGACTTGGTGATAGAATACCGGCCTCTGGGGAGTTATTTCAATGCTAACTTGGAAATACGTCACTGCTCCTTCATTACTGCCAAGTTAAAATGCTGATAGCATTGTGGGAGTACCTTCACCACATGGACTGCAGGAGGTCAAGAACGTGGCACATCATAACCTTCTCAGGGATACTGGCCAATGCATGCGGGCCTTGCCTGTGATGCTTACATCCACTGAATAAATTAAGAAGTCACTATGCAGTAGTTTCATGTCAAAGCTGGGAGTAGGTTTGAGGAGCATACCTTCTGCGCAAATCTTCTGCCACAGAGGCCCTGCAGCTGAACAGGTACGCTCTCAGCGATTTGAGCTGCTGTCGCAAGCGGAGAACAGTGGCCAACGCTTCCACATGCTCGTACAGATGTGGATTATCCTGTCGGACATCAACGAGTGGCTCTTCTGATATGTACTCCAGGAATTCTTTTGCTTGTTTTGAAACCTGTGGAGGAAAAATAATAAGCTTGAAAATAGAAACGTAGGGACAAAAAGAATATGATCGGATAGTGGTTGGGTTACTTGACTGTTAATCTAGCTAACGGAAGTTTGAATAATAATTGGGGAATTGGAATTCAGTTTATAAAATTTGATTGCTGTGGAAATTCCACTGCTTTATGCATGTCCCATCAGGGCAGGAAACCTGCTGTCCTTAAACACTCTAGGCCTGTCACAGACTCCAGGCCACACTAACATAGTTGACTTTTTAAATGGTCTTTACCAGTGCCTAAGCAAACCACACACAATTTCATCAGAATGCTTCATATTCTCAAGGTGACTAGGATATAGGCAGCAAATACCAGTCCTGCCACCAACAGCCACATTTTGAGAGTGATTTATTTTTGTAAAATGAGACAGTAACAGAAGATTTCAGTCAAAATAAAACAATTTTTATTGTATCAACAGACTTCAGTAGATAGCACTGTTGCCTCTGAGTAAGAGGTCTTGGGTTTAAGTCCCACTTGGCAGGTGGGCACAAATTTTAGGTGGACAGTGCAGTGCTGAGGGCTTCTGGCTCTGATAAAGGATCACCTTTTGGCGGAGACCCTAAACTTCAGACACTCTTTCCTCTTGGGTTGATTTGGAAGATTCCATAGCATTCTCTTAAAGAGAAGGGGATCTCTGCACACTGTCCTAGCCAAGGTGCGACCCTTAACCAACATGATTAATGAGAAAGAATATCTGGTTATTATTACAATGCAGTACGTGAAAATCTGTCGTGCAGAAACTGATTGCCTGATGCCCTGGTCATCCTTATACCTCAATCAGAACAATTTAAGAAAACAGACAACCTGGCCACTGCTATTTTGTGGGATCTTCCTAGGTTTCAACAGCGGCCAGACTTCACAAAGTACTCAAATGGCTGTAAAGCACTTTGGGGTGCTGTGGCTGTGAGAGGTCCTACCTAAAAGCAACTTACTTCTCTCTTACAAACTGATCTCATTTTGAAACCCAATTCACTTGCTGCACAGCACAGAACTCTTCAGTCTTAACTTTGCATTCTCCATTATTTCACTGATGTGAAATATTTGGAAACACGGTGGGGTAGAAGTACTGTCACTGGACTGGTCATGCAGAGTCCCAGGCTAATAGTAGAAAGTGAAATTTGAATTCCATTAGTAAATCTTGAATTACAAACTAGACTAATAATGGTGGCTATGAAACCACGGCTGATTGTTGTAAAACCCACCTGTTTCACAGCTGTCCTCGAGGGAAGGAAAATCTACTGTTGTCACTGGCCTGGCCGACATATAGGTCTAGACTTTCAACAATGTGACAGAGTCTTAAATGTCCTCCGAAATAGCCTAGCAAACCACTCAGCTGTAATGTAGTAGTTCAAAGTGATAGCAATTAGGGATGGGCAGCAAATGTTGGCCTAGCCTGAAACACCCACAACCTGTGAATGAATAAGAAAAACTAGCAATCCACAGCCGTAGACTGATACTCTGGGGATATGGGTTCAAATCCTACCATGGCAAGTGGCAACATTTGAATTCAGTCACTAAAACATGTAACTGAAAACTAGTTTCAGTGGTGGTCACCTTGACGACGATCGATTGTTGCGCAAACCCATCTGCTTCACGAACATCGTTCAGGGAAGGAAATCTGCTATCGTTATTTGGTGTGACCTACATGTGACTCCAGATCCACAACCATGTGGTTGACTCTTAATTACCCACTCAAAGTAAGGGCGATTATGGATGGGCAACAAATATTGGCCCTGCCAGCAACATCCAGAGCCCATGAAAGAATAATGAAGGAATGTATTTAACAAGATTTTAGTTACCGTTAAAAGGAATGGAAGGACTGACGATGGAACTAAATATTCCAATTCACATTCTCAAAGGGTACAGCACAGAACTACAACAGCAGATGAATTCAAGAAGCGGATTTCAAATCTTGATTATCACCCTAGTATAATGGTTCATACAATGTTCTCTCAAAAGAGATTGTACAACTCTCTCTTGACAGCTTGGCACGTTTAAGAAAAGTTGTGGATAAAATCAGACAGACTAGACTCGAGATGTTCCAGGTTCAGTAACCAGTGATTTATGAAAAGGAGGAGGAACTTCTGCACCTGTGGAGTGGTGAGCCTGTGGAATTCTCTACCACAGGAAACGGTTGAGGTCAAAACATCATAGACATTCAACGAAGATGTAGATATAGTTGTTAGGAATAAACAGATCAAAAGAAAGAGGGTATGGACGGGGGAGGTGGTGGCAGGGAGGAGGGTTTGATGGTGGTGGAAGCAGGAACAGATACTAAGTTAGATGACCGGCCATGATCATATTGAATGGCTGGCTCTTGCTCAGATATTCTATGTTTCTATGAACATGCAGTTCAAGGGCAATTAAGGTTGGGTAACAAATGCTAACCTTTCAAATAATTACCTGTTTGGTGAAATATGGGAAAAGAGAAACCATGAAAAGCAGGTGAGGGAATTAGGAAAATGCATAGCAAAATAATATTGGACAAAAATAGCTACATATTCCTCTCGTGAATTGATAGAGCCACCATTTTGCCCTGTTCCCATTCAGTCATTGCCAAAATACTCATTGACCTGCTCTGGTGCCTAGATCACTGCAGTTTCGATTTTTAAATTTTCATTCTTGTTTTCAAGTCTCTTCATAAATGTGGCTCACCTTATGGCTGTAACAAATCCAAACCCTACAAAAAAAAAGCCCATTGAACTGTCAATGCTCCTCCACTTTGGGCCTCTTGCACATCCTAGAATTGCTACCACTCCACCATTGCTGACTGTGCTTCAGATGCCTTGGTACTACATTTGGAATTGCCTCCCTAAATCTCTCCACCTGCCTCTCCCCCTTTCAGATTCTCCTCCGCACTCCGTCCAAGCTTTTGCTCACTTGCCAAATCTCCCAACGTGGTACAATAGAAATATTTTGTGAAGTGCTTACATTAAAAGGTGCTATATAACTACAAGTTGTTGTTGCAGCTCACGAGAGACTTTGAAGGAGCAACGCACCTTGTGCTTTGTGGTGTCCCAGTTGTGAACCAGTCGAGCCGGGATCAGGAACACATCGTCAACATGACATGCTTGGCAATAGTACCAGCCACTGTAGGCACACACCTTTGCGTTCCCATAGGACAATCCCACCGGTCTCTGACATCCTATTGGAAACAAAAATAGAATTCTTGCAATGCAGGTTGCTATAATGAAAGGAAGGAAACACAGAAGACAATGTGCACTGACAAGTCTTGCAAACAGCAACAAGATAATGACCAGATTATTTGTTTCAGTGATATTGGTTGCTAGTCAACCAAGACACTGTGGAGAACAGCCTTTATTTAAACAGAACATTTTTACATCTACCCAAGGTGGTAATTAGGGCTTCAGTTTCAAGTCTCATTTAAAACTTGGAATGTATGGCAGTGTGACCATCCCAGCGTTGCAAAGGGGAGTCAGCATAGATTTTGGGCTCAAATCTCTGGAGGTGGTCCTTGAATTCACAGCCTTCAGACTCAGCTGTGAGAACGTACCTCTGTTCACCCACGGCTGTCACGATATTAAATCTGAAATATTGAAGCTGACTGCTGTTCAGAGAAAGTGGCAAATTGGTCGTAGAATCTAAATGTTTTCTAACTTACTTTTTTGTGAAGGAAAATCATATACAGTAGTAATCATTATGCATCCACAAGGAAAACATAGCTGCTCGGTTTCATCCGCAGTTCACTTTACTGTGATCTAGTCATGTACCGCAGTGTCCTCAAAATCAGAACGCTGCTTTTTCCCGTTCCTGCAACAGTGATACCTTTGTATGTCTTTGCCAACCAGTACCAAATTGGGAATGGCTTTAATACCTTTGGGAACTGGATTTACAACACCCTTATGGAGTTAATACACAAGTCCATCAGTCCATGATAGATTTCAACACAGGTCCCAGAGGTGAAAGACTAATGTGTCACCTAATATCTCCACGACTGCCACAGTAAAATATGCAATACTGCACCAATTAACAGCTCACTTCCCTCCACAAAGCCATGATAATAATTGCATCTATTATAATTCCAATTTCAAGTCAGTGTGCCAACAAAAGCCACTAGCAGTATTTATATGGGATAGAAGTGCAATTAACTGAGCAAGTGCAGAGTTCCACAGAGGCAGAGGCATTGTGAAGACAGCTTTCTGAAAGGCCACATTTGTAAAGAGATATTCCAAGAAACATTCAAGTGCAAGCATCACTTTTAAGTGTCCCTGTTCCCAAAAAATAAAGTTAAGGAGCCATCAGGCCGTACCTAGCTTACTTGCTCATCTCTACTTCACATCATCATTGCACTGTAACATCAGGCTTTTGTACCACAAACACTGCTGACAAGTGAGTATTTGTCTTTCAGTAGATTGCACTGCAGTGGTCAGGAGAGAATTACTGTCACTGGACTAGCAGTCCACAGACCCCGGTAAAGTTCTGGGACACGGGTTTAAATCCCACCACAGCAGATCGTAGAATCAGAATTCAATAAAACCCGAAACTAAAAGTTTAATGGTGACCATGAAACCATTGCTGATTGTCATTAAAACTCATCCGCTTCACTAATGTCCTTTGAGGAAGGAAAGCTAGCATCCTCACCTGGTCTGGCCTACATGCGGTTGCTGACACACAGCCCTAAGGTCTGGTAGGTCTATGGCAACTTCACCTTTACATGCGATACTAGATTCACCATAATGTGGTTGCCTCTTGACTGCCATCCGAAACAGCCTAGCAAACCATTAATTTGTAACAACTGCTTAAAAAGCCAATGTAAAGCCAAACTGGTTCACTTCACGTGATATCAAGAAACGGTTGAAGACACTCTAAAAGGTCCTGTCAATAATATTGAACAGATGCGCTCCAAACTTGCCACACCCCTAACCAACTGCTCCAGTTCAACTACAACACTGGCATTTACTTGATGTTGAATCACAGAATCCCTACAGTGTGGAAGCAGGCCATTTGGCCCATCGAGTCCACACCAACCCTCCAAAAGACTATCCCACCCAGACCCACCCCTCTACCCTATTGCTGTAACCCTGCATTTCCCACAGCTAATCCACCTAGCCTGCACATCTTTGGACTGTTGGCAGAAACCAAAGCACTTGGAGGAAACCCACATAAACCAGGGGAATGTCACCCAAGGGTGGAATCGAACCTAGGTCCTTGGCACAGTGAGGCAGCAGTGCTAACCACTGAGCCATCATGCCACCTTGTGTGGAATGTGGAAAATTGCCCAGATATGTCCAACACAAAATTCAAATTGTTCAGTTAACGCCCCATCAGTCTTCTCTCGGTCATTAGTAATAATATCAGAGTAAAAGATCCCTTAGGAAACAGTGACCATTACACGGTAGAATTTAGTATTCAGTTTGAGAGGGAGGAACTTAGGTCGGAAAAAATTGTGTTAAGCTTAAATGAGTGTAATCACAAAGAATGTGGGGCAGAGCTGGCTGGAGTGGACTGGGAAAGGAGTTTAGCAGCAAGGATGGCTAAGGAACAATCGTCAGTGTTTAAGGAAATGGTTCAAGACTCACAGCAAAAGTATATTTCAGGTGAGGAAAAGTGCCAACCATCACTAACCAATGAAGTTCAGGATAGCATCAAATTGATAGGAAAAATATTCAACGTGGCAAAGATTGGTGGTAAGCAAAGGATTGGAAAAGTTTTAAAATCCAACAAAAAGATCACCAAATAAAAAGGGAGGGAAAAAATAAGCTTTGAGGGTATACTTGCAAGTAAGAAAAAAGGCAGACAGCAAGAGCTTAAGTATGTAAAAAGGAAAAGAGAAGCCAAAGTGAGACCCTTTAGAGAATGAGGCTACGGAAATAACAACGGGTAACACGAAAATGGCAGAGGAGTTGAATAAATAATACATCAGTCTACACAGTAGAAGACATCAATAGCATTCCAAAATTACTAAATAATCAAGGGGCAAAAACAGGAGGAAATAAATACAATTTCAGCTTCCACAGGTGCTCCTCAGGGTAGTGCCCTTGGCGCAACCACTTCAGCTGCCTTTTAATGACTTGCCCTCCATTACAATGTCAAAAGTAGGGATGATTACACAATGTTCAGCACCATTCATGACTCCTCAGATACTGAAGCAGTCCATGTCCCAAAGCAGCAAGATCTGGACAATATCCATCTTTGAGCTGACCTGCAGCAAGTAACATTAACACCACAATTGAACATCTCCAACAAGACAGAATGTAACTATTGCCTTTTAGTATACAATGGTATAAGCATCACTGGGTCTTCCACTAATATCACCCTGGGGCTTTATCATTGACCAGAAACTGAACTGGACTAGTCATGTATATACAGTGGCTACAAGAGTAAAAGGTCAGGAACTAGGAATCTTGCAGCAAGTAAATTGGGTACCTGTCCACCATCTACAAGGCACAATTGTTGTGGAATATTCCCTACTTACCTGGATGAGTTCAGGCCCAACAACATTTGAGAAGTTTGACACCATCTAGGATAAAAGCAGCCCACTTGACTGGCACCACATCCACAAGCATCCACTCCCTCCACCACCATCAATAGCAGCAGTGTGTATCAGCTACAAGTTACATGCAGAAATTATCCAAGATTCCTTAGTCAGTACCTTCCAAACACATGATGACCACCATCTATAAAGGATAAGGGCAGCAGATACATGAGAAGTCCACCACCTGCAAGTTTCCCTCCAAGCCACTCACCATTCTGCCTTTGAAATACATCATCGTTCCTTTACTGTTGGGAGCCAGAATCTTGAACCTCCCTCCTTGACAGTATTGTAGATACACCTTCACCAAATGGACTGTAGCAGTTCAAGGAGGCAGCTTACTGCCACTTTCTTGATACCAACTGGGATAGCCAATAAACCCTGCCCAGCTAGCAACTCCGACAACCTACGAATATATTTTAAAAAGCCTTAAGTTGCCTCATGTCTTAGCCCAATTCAGTTTTCATGAAATACCTACACTTTTGCACATTCCAATGCTCAGAAGTTGGGAGCTAGAATCAGGGTTGGTTTTTTTTTATCCTTGTCCTGACCAGCCCAGTGATAAACACATCAAGACAAAGGCCTGAGGCTCAATGATTATGATACTTTAAACAGTAAATCAAACTTGAAAACATGGGAACATTTTACTTTTTTAAGGAGAGAGATGAATGACATGAGATTGATTTAATTAAAGACACGCTTGTTAATAACTGTTTCACTTCTGTCATCGATTGATGGTAATGAACAAGTGTTTCATAGCCTGTGTCAGGGTGCACGTCAAACCGTAACTGACCTCAACACTGTAATGTCCTAAAGGTTTAACTCTGTTTCTCCTTCCACAGATGCTGCCTGATATGCTATGTCTTCCATTGTTTTCTCAATTTTAATTTCAGCATTGGAGCAGTGGAACTAATCATGGTATGGATTCTTGTTACCCTGCTAGCTAGTGATCCCCGATAACATAGTATAGACAAGGTTGCATTGCAGATGTATACAGCTACAAGAACACTCAAGTCCTTGACATCTTCCATGATACAGAGGTTCACTCGATCAGTACAACATCTACCAATTTCAACATTCATTGTTAATGTCACTGGACTAGATCCAACGTGTTCTGGGATCATGGGTTCAAAATTCACCATAGCAGACTATAAAATCTGAATTCAAGGAAAATCTGGAATAAAATCTGTAACCAACGTCTACTGTCATGAAAAACCCATCTGGTTCACCAATGTCCTTTAGAGAAAGAAATCTGCCATCCTTAACTGGGCTGGACATGCGACTCCTGACCAACAGCAATATGGCTGACTCTTAACTGCCCTCTCGTTAATTCAGGATGGACAATAAATATTGACCTAGCAAGTGATGCCCTCATCCTATGAATGAATAATATAAAAAAATTCACTCACTACATCACCATACAATGGCAGCAGTATGCACCATCTACAAATGCACTGCAGCAAATTGTTAAGACTCCTCCAATTCTGCCTTTCAATCCGGCAATCTCTAATAGCTAGAAGAACACGGAAGGCAAAAACTTGGAAGCCCTACGTGCAAGTTCACTCCAAGCCACAGACCATCCTGACTTGGAGCCATATTGCCAGTCCTTCACGTTTGTGGGGCCAGAATCTTAGAACTCTCTTCACAACAGT